ATTGTTTTTTCACTCATAATACAGTGGCACATTGTGTTACAAGAGAAATATCGATGTGTATCTGCGTGGTAAAATACAAATCTCAGTCTATACCATTTTTTGACAAAAGTCTGTGTGTGTGTCCGTTGATAACTAGCGAAATCCTGGACCGATTGATTGTCATCTAATCTGACACGAACCCTCGGGGGGAGTGATGTAAGAGTGGATCCCTTATGTTCCCACCCAGGGGTCGCTATCTCTTTTTATGTATCTTAAATAACTACATTAATACTTGGATTAATTTTTATTTATATTCTATACTTTGTTCAGAAGTTATTGTTAAAAATTGCATGACTTGTATAATTAATCTTTCTATGCAACTCCAACGCCCTCGTGGCACAGCGGTAAGTCTGATGGCTTATAATGTTACAAAAGCACAGCACAGATAGCCCATTGTGTAGGTACAAACAAACTCTATGCAAAATTTAAAAAAAAATTAAAAAAACAACAACTACGGTTCAATCTCATAGTAACGTGCAGTGGGAAGGGGACCATTAACAAAAAAAGGTACTTTTCAAGCATCATAAAGCAAGGACTTTTTGGGGGGAGAGGGTGTATTAGGGGAGACTATGGGTTGCCTCGGGTATACATAGGGTAAGAATCAAACAGATCTTCTTTCAACTGGTCTTTAAGATCTAAAAGTAAATTCTTATCACAACTATTATTGTTTTACTGTAAAGACCTAAAAGTCCCAGTGTGTCATTCATTTTAAAGCTGATTTTATTTCCCTAATAAAAACTTGCAGTAAGCAGGTTGTAGAATCAGGCGCGTCCTTTGGTATTTTTTTATGACTGTAAAAAATGGAGCTTTGGGGGCATAAAAGGAGGAAAGCTGGGGCTAGAGCTAACCCAGTCACCTCCCCATAATATATTTATTTTATCTGATAATTTAAATGTTTTTTTTAAAGAAAAATGGGAGATTTTTTAATTGTTAATACGTTTGAAATGCTTTATCTGTAAATTAATGCGCTGCTTATAAACAGGTGTTGCGCAAGAAATGGGGCAGAAGCAGAGTTTTTAGTAACATTCCCTAATTTGACGTCATTTTAAATAGCAGTAAATATTTTATAATGAAAAACTAACTTTTGTAATTTCAGTATTGTTGAAATTTTACTTAGCAAAAGTAAAGTTTTTATAACTTTCTTTAGGATATCGACCACCTAATAAGCGAGTAAAGAGGTTTTGTTTTGTTTTTTTTTAACAGTGAATATGAAAAATCCACGGAGGCTTTCGGGAGATATTTAAGAAATGACAATAGCAAAATAATAGGTATGTATTCAAAATCACTCGTTAAGTTTTATATTAAGAATTTTTTAGACAAACTTAACTCACCGTTACGTACGTCATTTTAACACCACTTAGCCACCTAGCGGATGTAATAATTTTAATGTTTTTATTATATAAAGTAAACAAATAAATAGTTTTTTGAGGTATTGTAGAAACGAATCTAAAGATTCTTTTAGGCAAACTTAACTCACCGTTACGTACGTCATTTTAACACCATTTAGCCACGTAGCGGATGTAATATTTTCAATGTTTTTACTATATAAAGTAAAAGATAAATAGTTTTTTGAGGTATTGTAGAAACGAATCTAAAGAAGATTATATCTCACTTATATTTCAGATATTTTCCTCGGTCAGCTCAGAAGTAGGCTTCAGTGTACCGTCTGTGGCCACAGTTCCGTGACCTTTGATCCATTTTGGGACTTATCCATATCTATTCCTAAGGTAAATTGGCCCGGCATGACAAGGTGGTTAGGGCGCTCGACTCGCAATCTGCGGGTCGCGAGTTCGTAACACCGAACATGCTAGCCCTTTCAGCTGCGTGAGCATTATAATGTGACGGTCAATCCCACTATTCGTTGGTAAAAGAGTAGTCCAAGAGTTGGCGGTGAGTGGTGATGACTAGCTGCCTTCCCTCTAAATTAGAGACGGCTAGTACAGATAGCCCTCGTGTAGCTTTGCGCGAAATTCATAACAAATAAACAATCCTAAGGTAGATAGTAACACTGATACTAAATATTGAAGAGCCTGATGAACAAAAATGAGTTATACATTATGAATAAAATAATGCACAGAAAGAAAAAAAAAACTGGCGTATTTTTTGCACGGGGTGAAGTTTATGAATATCAGTTTCTTTTGTCATTATTGTATTTGAATAGAAAAAAAAAATACACAAATATTTTCCTAAAGGTGGGTTGCTCCAAGGAGGGCACAAATGATCTTTTAGGGGAAAGGTGGCAAAATTACGTGTTTTTATTTATTTTTGTTTATGAAAATAGTATTGTTTGTTTGTTTCTTTGTTTTTGAATTTCGCGCAAAGCTACACAAGGGCTATCTGCGCTAGCCGTCCCTAATTTAGCAGTGTAAGACTAGAGGGAAGGCAGCTAG